AAAGAGATTTGTAAACTTGTAAACAAGGTTTCTCTTCTCACTAGATTTCTGTTTAGGAAAAGTAGTTATTTTTAGAAAACATGTTATTTATTTTAACCTGTAATGGGTTTATTACTATAGTTTCAAAATAAATCAATAAATTAACATTTAAAATTATTCAGTTTTAATTTTTAACATGGTAAATATTGATAACTATAGCCTATAAACAAACCTCCTTGGGGGTACTTCCTAATTTAAGAGTGTAACAGGGATCCAAGATCAAAAAGTTTGAGACCCCCGTCTTCTTCCCACGTTTATGCGCTTGCGGATGACATGAAAAAAAGAAAAAAGTTCTTCTGCCAACAACTAACACATCACAGAATCTAATCTACAGTTTGAAGGCAATGAGATATATTGAACCTATTTTAGTAAACAGGTCAGTTAACTTACAAGAAGAAAATCTTACATTTTAAAATTTTCTCTTCAGCTTCTTTAAGGTGTGATGTTGATGTAGGGCACCACGTGGGAAGCCAACGAGTTAGCCAGCCCGACCTAGAGTGTCAGAAACAAAATACAAGTGAGTGAGTTTATGCTTTTCTCAACTTCCACTGTTACACAGGGAGAAAAGCAGAAACGAAAATTTACCCTCTGTGTGGTGAGGAACTGTCTGTATGTGACAAATTCACCTACTAGGTACAAAGCATGGTGATAAAGTACTGGACTACAAATAGTCACCTTCAGACTAAGAACCTCCTACAAGGTCTATCTTACCTGCATGGATAGTCAGATTCCACATCATCAATGGGCAGAACAAGAAAAGACAAAAAAGGTATTCCCCCACCCCACTGCAAGACAGCCTATTATCAGAGTGGAAGTCCAAAAAAGTTAAAGATCATGAGTAGGGTAATTTCAATGCTAGGTTCACAGAAAATATAAAATACACCTACGATGAGGGCTGAGAGAACAGAAATCTTACAAAAATAGGAGATATTTTAAAACATAGCTTCAATTCTCATGGTTAACAGTAGAAGAGACCCCTAAAAGAAATGCAGAGGACAGGCCCACGTACAATCTAACCAGCACGAATCGGCTAACTGTAAAAAGAAAGCTTTGGATTCCAGCAAACAGGAGATGGTAAGAATGACCCAGGCATCTGGCAGAAGACAGCGGAACAAAGAGAGCAAGGAAGCAGGCCTCACGCAGCAGGAGAGGAAAGGCAGGCGGAGGCTGGAACTGACACGCTTTGCCCGTAGCCAGTAACAGGTCAACTCCTGGCCTACAGCATACCACGTGTGACAATCTGAGGTAACACAGGACATCGGCAGTCATCTGACAGGCTCAGCACGTGGCCAGTACTGGTTAAAGTGACAGCTTTCCCATGGAAGAGAAAATGAATTAGAGAAGGAAGAGAGACCAACTACTGCAGACTCCAGATGAGAGGTTAAGAGCCAGAACGAAGGCTTTGGCAATAGGGATGGAGAGACAAGAAGATGAGGAAGACTTTAAAATAAAACAAGCTAAAGGTACAAATGGACAACCAGAAGATGAGTAAGTTCTGGAGGTCTAATGCACAGCACAGTGGTTACAGTCAACAGTACTGTATTATAGACTTCAAAACTGTTAAGAGACTAGATCTTAAATGTTCTCACCACAGCAAAAGAGATAATTATATGATGTGATAGAGGTATTAATTAAAGCTAAGGTGGAAATCATACTGTAATATACAAATGTATAAATCAACACATTGTGTACCTTAAGCTTACACATGTTATATGTTAATTATATCTCAATTTAAAAAATAAATATAGCAAAAGAAATTTAATGGAAGAAACAGGTGACCCAACAATAGTAATATACAAGAGAATTAATTCACCCCACAAGTATTTATTGGGCACTTGATGTCTATGAATAAGTATTATAATCACTGGGGACATACCAGTTACCAACAGAGGTAACAGTGATGAATTTTCCCTGAAGGGGTCAGGAAGGAAGTTGCTTTTAGACCAGATCCTCATAGATAAATAGGGTATTTCAAAAGGTGGATTGTGTGATTCAGGAGGGAAGGAAGGGTGTGAGCATGTGCACATAAGGAATTACATACCTGTGTGGTGACACAACAGGTTTCCAATGGCTGCTGTAACAAATTATCACCAATGTGGTGGCTTAAAGCAGCAGAAATTTATTCTGTCACAGTTCTGGAGACCCGGTGTCTGGAATCAGCATCACTGAGCTGAAATCCAGGTGTCGGGAGGGCCACACTCCCAACAGAGGCTTTAGGGGAAACCCCTTTCTTGGTGTCTTCTGGGTTCTGGGGGCTGCTGGCACTCCTCACCTGGCGGCAGCACCCAGTTATCTGTGCCCCTTGACACTGCCTTCTCTCTTCTGTGTGTCTTCTACAGCATGAAGTGTGTTCCAAGATAAGAGATGTAGAAACATTCAATAAACAGTAGGTGATATTGTACTGAGGACAGCAATAATAATGATTCACTAACACTTAGGTGCCATAAAAGTTTTATGTAAGGTTCGGGGGAGTTCAACGATAAGGACTGACAAAGAATCATCCTTTTCCATCACTCCTGGCCTCGAAGGTAAGGCTGCTTCTAGGTGACCTACAATGGGAAACTCAGCCTTGCTCCAGCCTTTACTTGACACTAATATCATTTTTGTCACTTCTTATTCTCTCTGTGGTCTAGACACACAATATTCCCTGGCCCTGAATCTCCTCAGAATATACCTCCCCACTTCCTTCCAGGATCATTACACCTCTTATCAGCCTCAGATTAGGTTCTATTTCCCCTCTGCCCACATACCCAAAGAGCATTAGATCAAGGAAGCAGGATGGCACCCTGTACTCAAGCTCTATTTTCTTAGTTCTGAAGTCATGTTATAAAGTTCATACTTACTCATCAGTATCCTCAACAAACTATCAGAACCTTGAAGGTAAGGGCTCACTGCATTCTCAGTTTCCATACCAATACCTAGCATATTAATGTGCACTCATGATATGAATGAATAAAGTTTTTGCTTCACCTGAAGTGTACTGGTTGCAATGAACTACAAGAGGATGATAGGGAAGTTCTCCATCTTAACAATTGGATTACACAGGTGTATGCATATGTCAAAATGCAGCAAATGAACACAAAGCACACACTTAAGCTTTTCATCATAATAAAATTTGCACACAAAGTAAAACAGGTTGGATTTGATAACTGGTTACAAAGAAGGTATAATAGAAGATTCCCAGGTTTCTGTCTGAGATGCCACTAATAACAACAGATAACACATAAATACAAATAGATGTGAACAGACAAATGTGCTAGATTCTGGATGGGCTGATCCAGTATCCACCATTTTCTAAGCTTTGGAGGCTCTATGTTTCCCTTCCCTGTGGAATTTCTCTGGGCATTATGTATAACAGGCGCTCAACAAATAAATTTTGCTGGATGATTAAATCACTCACAATCCAAGATAGTCTCAGTCCAGGCTATACCCATTTCAAGATGTGAAAACTGAGGCTCAGGAATGTTAAGCACCAGGTCCAAGAGTATACAGCTAGTGACATAAGTAGAGGTCTGAGCTGAATTCTAAGTGACTTCAAAACTCTTTTTTCTCAGGTGATTACCTTCCTTAAAATGTCTGAGGAGCCATCATTACCTACAGAATGAAGTCACATTCATTAAACCTACAGAGAAGATGCTTTACGATCCATCCACAGCTTACCCTCTCCACACCCTGTCTTTGGTACACTACTTTTTCAGTAATTCACAACTCCCAAAATAGTCATGTTATTTTATGCCTCTATGGCTTTGCACAGCTATCCCTCAGAATACCTTGCCTTTTCTGAGATGCTGTCCCTGATCCTGATGCCAAGGTCACTGGTCACTCCTCTGGCAACTGTTACAGATACAGTTACCACTGCCATGGTTATTTGTTGACATATGTATCTGCCCTACTGCACTCTGAGCACAATGCATGCTAAACCATGTTAAAAGTCATTCTTACTTTGCCAGTGCCAAACACACTAACTGGCTGGTTGGCCATATGAGTGCTTGATAATTGTGTTTGTGACGTAAAGGCTTCGGTCATAAGAAACACCAAAAATGGATGAGGGAAGGTAAATGAAATTCATTTCTATAGGCAAAGTACCACTGGCCCATTATTAGGAGACAGGATATGGGCAAGGCAAGGACCTGAATCCCCCAAAACAAAACAGAAAAACTAACAAATGTCAATGCAAAGAGGTGAATCAAGAAAAGGGTAATCAACAGAATGAACAATTTAGAAAGGTGATCAGAAGCATAGTAATCCACACTTTTTCAAGTACATATAGCTTTCATATATATATATATATAGCTTTTTATCTGCTAGTCAACTTTCTTCTTATCTCTTTATCTTTAAATATAAAAGCTTCCTGGTAAGTTCCATACCATTCATGTATGCATGTGTACACACACACGCATGCGTGCACGTGCACAGGATTAAAGGACAGGACTTCAAGCAGAGCAGATGTATTTGGTCAGGTGTTCATGACATAGGGATTATACTATGGAGATACTCAAGATGGAAGACCCTGATCTCATCTCCTCTCACAGACAGCTACATAATGGAACGGTTTCCTCTGATAAAAATCTAAAAACTAGCAGAGTGAGCCCTTCACATTAGGCAAACCAGAGAGGAATCATATCAAAGCAGGTAGGAAAGGCTGAGACACCATTCACCATAAACCCCACAATCGGGAGGGAACTCAAAACCCAGAGCTTCTCCTCAAAGAGCAAAGGGCTTGTAATCTATATGTGGCACCCCGACTTTTAAGGCTGGCACCTGAAACATTAGCCCCCAAAATGTCTGGCTTTGAAGACCATGGGGCTTATGTCTACAAAACACACAGGGTTCTGGCAAACCGAGGATTGCTCTTAAAGGGCCTGTGGGCAGACTCACGTGCACCAGGCTGCACAGAAGCAGCCCTCTGAAAGCACCCAGACTTTATGTGAAAGAGACTCATTTCCTAATTTTAAGGCCAAATGGTAAGGGGCCTGCTGGGATGCTCTTCAGGGATGGGCACCATCTTTCTGCTCTCCCTTTGCAGTGCTCCAGAGAGCCAGTGTATCTCCCAGAGGGGAGATTCTATACATGTTCAGTGACCCAGTTTTTATGTTTGTGACCCAGAGGGCACTCCTTAATTGCCTGGCCCTGGCAATCATGGGTGCTTGTATTCCTGGGTCCCATGGGACTATAACAATCAGAGAGACAGGTTTTGGCAGACAACCACTCCCAGGACACTGCACAGTTGACTGAAACAGATCCCAAGTCCCTCTTAGAAAGAGGCTCATTTATTTATTCAGGAGCTTTGGCCTGAGAGGCAGGCTTCTGGTTTGGCACACAGAGACTACAGAGGTGCTCTCATGGAAGAGAGGCCGGGGAATGCCATCTTTGCACTCACCCTCTGCCTTGCAATAGCTCACCTGTATCTCCCAGGAAGGAGTTTGTACACTGGTCTGGAGCCATGATTTGTCTGACTGCTGATGCCTGAGGGTTTAGCTTCTAGTCAGCCT